CTGATTTGCTAAGTTGATTCGGAATAATTAACCGACTTCAAAAAGGAGGAGGATTCTCTATTCGTACGTATATATTTTTAATTTTTTTTATGTTTGTACGCGGATAACTACGTCGTTTATGAACCGATTTTGATGATTCTTTTTTGTTGGAAAGGAGATATCCCAAGGGTGGTAAGAGAACCCAGATCTGACGATGGCATCCCAGAGAAATCGAGGGTAATCCTTAAATGTTATAGGTATTAATTAATAATGTTTTTTAGTTTCCAGTTTCGGTTTTTTTTTTTCTTAAAATTATATGGATATTATTTATGAATCGTTTTGCGATTCGATAGTACGTCGTATCCGCAAGATCTCGAGCCGTGACATTTCCCGAGCCAACAGAGATGGGTGGCTCCCGTCTGCCTCACCGCGGCACGTTCACTCGCCACATTCCTGAGCAACGATTGTCCCAAATATTTCTTCCGTCCGCTTCGAGCGTTCGTTTCTGCCTGTACGCATAGTTTAATGCGACGACCCGAATGGCGTAGTGGGTAATGTACCTGCCTCCTGCGCCAGAGGGTGTGGGTTCGATCCCCACTACTGGAAAAATATTGTGTGATGAATATAGTGTTTTTCTAGTGTCTGGGTGTTTATATATCTATAATATGTATTTATTTACAAAAGAAAAGTATGTTTAAGTATGTTTATCAGTTTTCCAGTACCCATAGTACAAGCGTTGCTTAGTTTGGGACTAGAAAATGTTGTGTAAAAATGTGTCCTAAAATATTTATTTATTTATTATTTATTACATTTTTGGCTTCGGGAGTTAATCACCGACGGATATCCAGGTCTCCTGGATTGAAATTGAAGTGGACGACGAGGAACTGGAGGTGCATGACGAGGTTATGTGGTAGTTGAAGGCTATCGGCAGTGATTTCACGCTTGCATGTGTTCTGTAACTCTGGTGACCTTAATATTATTAAAACTTTCGTGAGACATTACTAACGTAATAATAAGACGGCTGAACTCACGTCAACGCGACCGCGAGCTAATCTCACTCACCCTGATGAAGGGCCTCCGATGAGTGCGAAACTAGTACGTACAGTCTGGTGACCTTGTTAGGTATAAGAATAATAATGATTTCGTAAATGATAATTGAATAAAAACTACATAACACTGTAGTTGATTGTGTGACATTATTAACATTTGTCGTGCGCCTGCCCTGACCAGATTACACCTTCCCAAAAAGTATATTTAAAACACTTTTTACATATCAAATGTAATGATTTTAATTGGGATTATAGCGGCCAAGCCTTGTATATTCAGCAACAATAATGATTTTTTTTCTTTCAAAAGCCTTATGCCAAAGAAATAATTTAATATGCGTTTGGCATTATAACTACCAAAAATATAGTAATTAATTATTTTAGGCGCATTCATGCAGTTAATAATAAATAGGGACTATACTAGAATAAAAGTCGACACGTACGCGACACTTACGCTATGTTTAGGGTTTACGGTTTCTGAAACACTGATCGTCGTAGAAATTAACTAATCAGCTGTCAAATGGCTTTTCAAAGGACATTTAAATTGCCAAAAAGATGGTTATTTAAAAAAATTTAAACATTTTTTATTATTCCAAGAAAACATTTTTTTATTCAATTATAAACTGCAGTTTTAACTTATTCTTTAACTATAACTCATAATCAAGTTTGTAACGGCTACTTAGAAATATAATTTTTAATGGACATTATTAGAGCAGAAATGTTACCATTAATAATATTAGACGATTGATGTTTATTTCATCGTGTGAGCTTTAATTTTTAGTACCTCGAGGACCTGGGTGTTTTTTTTTTGTAAATCGTGTATCTTGGAAATTACATTTAGATACAAATTACTGAGTAATGAAATATGCATAATATTTTTGCCGACCTAATAATAAGAAAATATGAAGTGGTGTTTTTCAGAAGAGAAAAAACTTTAAAAAAAAGGGGAAAAAATAGCAAAATAACAAATCGACAAAAAAATAAAAAATAAAGAAAGCAATGACCTGCAATTGGAAAAAAGTAAAAAAATAAGTGTGTAAATGATCGTGATACGAACCGCGGCCGTCTGTTTTGCGGCCGCCCGATTACCGACCGAGCTATTATAACATTTTTTTTGCGGAGAAATTTACCGTCATATTAACAAAATCATCTGGATCAACAAAGGTAAAAAATAAATAATTGCTCGTTTAAAGGATAAGAGATTAGGCAAAAGAAAAAATAGAGTAAAATGCTATAAGGAATGCCATATAGTCCATTCTGTTTTAAACATTTGTAAAATTAACTTTAAATGAGGTAAAGTACTGGTCTTAGCGCCAACTTCATCCCTAACGCAATTGTGGGCAAATTTGCCATTGAAATTGAATCCATTGACAGTCACTGCCAATCGTAAGGCACGTTCCAAGTTGCCTCTGTACTATTACAGCTTGATCTATAGCACTTGACACATAGATCACCGATTAACAAATATCACTATTGCTAATTCATTCCAGAAATAATGTGAACGGCTCACAAGTCTTGACCCGATTTCTTCTCAGCTTACCCGTCCAGCTCTCGAGTATTTTCAGGTGTCGACGAGACCGATATGTGAATACGAAACGTATAGGTGCTGATTGTCAAACGCACGTGTTCACGGAGTTGTCGGTAGTGAACTAACGGAGGTAACACTGAATGATGAGATCAAAGAAGAGAGATGGGTAAAGATGAGATGGCAAAGATGAGATGGGCAGAAGTGGTATATGACAAAACATTAAATTAGGTAAAAAGAACCCATTTAAGTAATAGGGATGGGCTCGTTAAAATATCTGATCTGACATACAAAACAGGAGATATAAAAGAAGCAATTGGCTACACACGGCTCCGAGAACTGAGGACTGCTGTTGACAGCGCACCTAACAGTAAAGCGGATCGTCCACAAAGCACAGGAAAGTGTAACAATGGGGCAATTTATGCCGCGCGCGAGAACCGACTTTATCAGTGTGTCCGAATATTCAGGCGGCGTGGCGACCTTGTTTTCATTTTCGTTTGCACGCTGCTCGTTCGCCCGTTTCGCTCGTCGCTCACGCCTAGTATAGTAAATGACAAGAGGCTATGCGAAAATGTCGTTAATGGTGCGTCGAACGGTGCGTCCGTGTGTCGCGGGCATTGGGCGGGCGGATTATGTGCGGTAGACAGCAGCGGAGAGGGATTTTATGACGTCACATTGTGCGAGTTCATTTTCCGAAGGTTGTCTGTTCATGTTATTGGTACGGCAAAGTCAGTCCAAGTAATATCTCGATGGGCGACTGATGGGTGACGTGTTTTGATAAATATCAAAGATTTCATTTTTATGCTTTTTTGGTTCTTATATTTGTGTTATTAATGAAGAGAATTTAAATCTTGTAGTTTCATTTTGTTTATTTTCCACAAGTTTAACATTTGATTGTCAGGCATCCAATGATCGAATGATCCATCTCGCAATGATTTTATTCAAAGTACTGATTAGTGTAATTAAATAACTGCATATTGTGTTTGAATTGAAGAAGATAATGAACATTGGGATTTTGTACTGGACAATCCCTTAGTGGTTTTATACGGCAATTTTTTACGTAGAAGTTTTTAACATTTATGACATTAAGCTATGATCTAACGTTGTAAGTGTACGCAGAGTGCAGCAAAAATATATTTACATCGAAGAGAAGCAAAACTAAAACGGTTGCAGAACATCCAATGGAATAAGACAAACTCTAGCCGTTTATAGAAGAGAAAATATCAACCGCCCTGCTGGTCGTGCGCATCGGATCTACGAGAAGACAGCTAGTATCCAGTGTCAATAAAACTATTTTACAATGTAATAAAACTGAATATATCTCTCCCAGTGTACGCTAACGTTACAGACGGAACTGACAAATCTTATTTACGGCGACGCTCCGTCCTCGCTCCTGTTATATGTTCACACGGAGATTTTTTTATAGTTTTTGCCACAAACGACCAAGGCTAGGGAAATGTAGGACGCGGGAAAGGCAAACACTTTCGTGACTTCTGTACTGGATTATGAAATATTAAACGTGAAAAGTTTTTCTCGGAGTGAATACGTCCAAACGGTTCAGTTTGAAACCTTTACTGTTTGTACTTGATGCTGATGGATGCATGTATGGTTATGGTACTTGGTACTGATGGATGCATGTATGGTCCATGTTGACACGGGTACAAGATTTACGTAATTGATTTATTTTTTGTAAAATGAAAAAATAGAATTAAAAAAAAACGAAAAGCTAACTCTCGACTTGGATACAATATTTATAAACTGATTTGGAATTATTACAAAATTAACCAGGTACTATATTGAAATAACCAGGACTCAATGTATTGATAATGATATTATAATATTGATTCCTTGTCTTTACACGAATATTATGGATATTAAAATGAAAGTATTTTACGGAGTTTATCGCTTTTTAACATTTGTCGATTTTTTTATTTAATTCCCGACATTTCGAATCCTATCCAGCGTTCATGTTCCGTGATGATAAAATCAATGCAATGGTTTCATTTGAAATGACATTTTGAATCAAGTTTTGCATATAAACTAATATTATTTCTTTGGCATCAATAGAACAAATAATTTGAAAAAGTTTGATAAGTACTCCTAAACTACAATAAAACTATTACACACAATCTACTTCACGCGATTACTTCTCGAAGAAAGTGAGCAGTACAGAGAGAATTTTAGTTAACAATAAGAAGATAAAAAAAACCCATCCACGTGTAGTACGATACAACGAAGTGCGTCTTCGATAAAAACAAAAGACAAAGCTTAATACACCAAAATTATCTCATATATTTTTCTCTTTTCTTTTGTTTCATAAGATGTAGTAATTTCTAACGTGTTATTTTCTGTTTGATTAATTTTTAGTTAAATTGTGTATGTTTTATAGATTGTGTGGTGCAATGCAACTTACGATGAAAATAAATAAACAAAATATACAATCCACGCATATGGAGACATCGCACGTGGCTTCTGATCGGGCATCGATTCGACTTGGCCAGCATTCCTCGTCGCATTCCGCGTCCGATGTGGGCTGCAGCCGGGTACGGTGCACCGGCGCCGAAACTAGTTTGGTCGGCGTGTTGACTCTGTGCACGGACAGGTTCCGCGTAGTGGTCTGTCGCTGAACGCTGTTTACGAGCCCACTTCAATAAATACTTACTTAATATTTTTTTTTTTCTTTTTTAATTTATTTGTTGAAAAACATTGCCCTTACTTTGGGATAACATTATCCTGTGTTGCAAGGACGTTTTTACAAACATACATTTCACGCGGACAAACACCCAGATGCGGAACAAGTATCTGTGGGGCACACAAATAGCTGTCCCGTGTGGGAATCGAATCCACGACCCCTGACGCCGAAGCCGATACTGGCAACTGCGCCACGGAGTCATTATAAATGCGAAAGTTTGTATGTATGGATGGATGTGTGTTACTCTTTCACGCAAATACTACTGAATGGATTACTAGCTGCTGCCCGCGACGTCTGCCTAGAGTAGACTGAAGGCGTAATATTCAGACAGAAAGACAGATATACATAAAACATGTATATAAATTGTAGCGTTGTCTTATTCTGATGTATAAGCTATATTATTGTAAAGTTTGTAAATTGCAGTTTTGGGCATCTATGACGCAATAGTAAATTTTCATAAGTTGGCGTCATTAATTCTACTAACGAAAAATCTTAAGGGCATACAGTTAATTGATTAGATGGTAATTCATTGCGTTGTAAGAGTTTGCAATAGTCTGAACAACTGAACAGGACTCGTTGGGAAGTATTCAGAGAGCGTCGCGTGTTCGGAACATTATGACATCAACGGTAAAGCAATTATCGAACAACGCTGAAAAGACGCGGAGCATACTGATGATGCAACGCCAAAAATGAATGCAACGCTGTCACGTCGCCGCTATTGTCTAATCGAGCTCCAAGCAAAACCCGACGTCTGATTGCTTTTCACGAGGTAACGCGACACATCAAGCTGATGAGAGCGTTGGTGGAAATTTTTGTCGAGTCACCTTATTACAGTTAAACGTAAAACAAGCCCAACTGTTGGCAATGCAAGCGCGGTACATTGAGACGTGTATCTATTTTCCTCTATTTTTATATTTTAAAGTTAAAAGGGAACTTTACGGACTTTTAGATTCCACAGGTGCGTTCCGTAGAGGACAGCGGAGATGTTGAGTGTCCCACAAAACCCTTTCTTCCTGCGGCAGGGACGCTATAAGCTGATCTTATAATAAAGCGGCGCTGAGACTTAGTGACGTTCGCCGGTTTGCGGTCAGCGCGCAAAGCGATACGGTATCGCTACGCAGACGGGAATAGTCGCTTCCCTGGCCTGGCCGTCGTCCATATCCGATGGCGAGCGAGGGAGCTCAACTCGCCAGGCGCCGTAACGCGACTTTCGGTCCTATTCCGACGCAATAAGGTCGGACTCAGGCCGCGCCGCGAAGCGTGGTACACGTACGCCGGGACGGATATAAGTCGTACGCAGGCCCTTGCGCAACGTTCGGCCGCCGATGAGCCCGTGACGTCAGTCGAACGCCCCGGAAGGCGGGCCGATGGGACCACTGCGAGAGCACTGCGGTAAATCACTGGACACGCAACAATGGCCGACTGGGCAAGGTCAATTGGCCCACGGATAGACGTCGGATCGAAATAGAATCTTAATTCCGACACAGTTTACACGGGTTCCGGAATTAGGTCAAACGATAGGGTTAGTTTTATTTTTAACAATTATCTTACAGGTCTCGTTTAATCAGTTGTCGATTAAAGAATTTTAATGATCAAATCTTTATATGCTATATATTCTTCTGTACGCGTGGCTGTCACTGAACTCCTCCTAAACGGCTGGACCGATTTTAATTAATTTTTTTGTGTCTTCAGGTAGATTCGAGAACGGTTTAGATTCACAATCCTACACTACAATGTTTTTTTAATTTTTTTTGTTTATAAGTTGTTGTCGGATTAAAGTTGTGATTACATGACAAAGATTGTCGGTTCTCTAGTTAAATATAAGGATTTAAATAATGCAGGAGATTATCATCGTTGCCGTATAATGCCAGTTTTGTAAGCCTTTTCAGTTAAATAAAAGTATTTTGACCTTACCAAACTTTCTCTCGTGGTGATGTGCTAAACTAGTCGTAGAGTATGTTGACAACTTTCAAATGGATGAAACAGAATACTTACCGAGTAGACATACGACTGACTAATTTCAATATCGATCTATGTATCATATTTTTCTAAATATACTAGCTGCTGCCCGCGACTACGTCTACGTAGGGGTGAAAATTTAGGGTATGTACGTATTTTTGTATGCTGTATCATAAAAAAAATAAAAACAAAAAAAATTGTCCAAAATTTAAAAAAAAAAACGTTAAGGGTGAACAACCCTTATCACTTAGGAGTATGAAAAATGGATAGTAGTCGATTCTCGGACCTACTATGCATATAAAATTTGGTAAAAAATCAGTAAAGCCGTTTCGGAGGGCTAAGGTAACTAACATTGTGACACGAGAATTTTATATATAAGATATAATAGCCTTTGCAGTTTATTTTTCTCATTTCGCATGCCGATACTGACGCTAGACGTGTCCTTATATAGTGGAGCGTGATCTCTACATTAAGATAGAGACGGCCTCGTATTTCTTATATATGTTAGGAAACGTCGGAAAGATTAGTAAGGTAGCGTTAAACAACATTCAATGTTTATACAAATAATTTATGGCGACGTCATCAAGTAACTTTACCGTTTAATATAATGAAATACATCAGATTTTTAGCAACTGTCGGCATATATGTTTTCATTGATGCTAAACTGACCACTTTTTTCCTAACTCAAAACGGGACATTGATTAACAATGAAAATAAACATAACTTTTTAGTTTTCTTTTTTCCGAAAAGATTAAAAATTAGAAGATAAAAAGAAAAAAATCATCTGTTCACTATTTTTTATTAAAACAACATTGGTATAATTTTAAATATTTTTATATTTCTCAGAGGAACAAATCTGTTTTAATAAGGAAGGTGACGATTTTAAATAAGAATAAAATTTGGCACATTTCTTTTATGTTGACCTTTGTTATCAGTATCGCCTTCAGAACAGGAGCTGTTCAATACCACCAGCACCACTATGGGAAACACTAAACTGTGCGACACTTTTCGCATCTAACATCCGAAGCAGTGTTAATTTGCTTAATAAATGGGTATTTTGTTTGTAGGTTGACATTAAATGAACACTTGGGTTTCGAAATAACTATAGGAAAAATTTCAACAGAACCAAACTTCAAATTATCTACAAAACTATTTAACGAACATTACACAAAACCATAAAGAAGTCAGAACACATGCGCGTTGCTAGCCTATTGAAAGAAACAAATGCCTCCTTCCCTGTCCTCCTCAGCGCCTTCCTAGGTAACCGATTGCGCGGGGAATAACCGGGGAGAAACCGATCGCGGTTCCGTGCTGCTCATGATCATGTCTGACGAGCGTGGTTTAAAATTTCGCGTCCACAATTTTGCGTCCCTAGGATTTGTTCGGGGACAACGGGACAGCTGTCCGAGAAAAGGGACAGTCCCGTTCAAAACGGGACGTATGGTCAGTTTACTGATGCCATACGATTCACTAAGGCATTTTAGCAATCGTGATCAATATAATTTATTTTAGTTAGTTTTTAGGTTAGTTAGTTTACAGGAAAAGACAGTTCCAGTGCATTCAAATTAAATAATCCAAGGTTATATAAACACGACAAATTCGTCATGTCAGCATTGTGCGTACTAAAGCGAGGAGTGACAACCCTGAAGGGACAGGAAACCAGAATGACGCTCACTTCGCCTTGCGGAGTTTGCGGCGTCCTTGGCGACTCGGTGACCGGGAGGAATTCAATACGAAACCGTTTACTCGAATAGACCGCGTTATCTGAGAGATTGTGCAAACAGAAAGGATTTATAGTATAAAACAAGATAAAATAAGGAACAATTAAAGACACACGCGCGCGCAATTGATAATTGGGATCAAAAATATACTTTATTGGGTCATGAATAAAGTTGTAATGTATGATGATGACATTAGAATAGAAAAAAAAAAATTTTGTAACGTCACTTAACCTTAGACAAGCAGTATATTATACTTTTCTTCTGCTACTTTTCTGTCGAATGACTGCATGAACAAAACGCGACAACACATTGTATTTTAACTTACCGAAACAGTTACACTCGACTCTGGACACATTTTGAGTTTCAGATTTTTAAATTTTTTTAATAATCGGATCGATATGGTTATAGCACAAGTTTTTTGGGTAAGGTCAGTCAGGTAACAAAGGGAGAGAAACAAACTGCACGGTTCAATTAACACGCGTTGCGCAACTGCGATAGAGAGTACTGAATACACTGACGTATTATGAACCAAGTATTATTTAAAGTACATTGTTTTCATTAATACCCATGCAAACGAAAAACAAGTCAATTTTTACGAAAAACTAATCCCACTTCAAATATCTCGCTGTGTTCATTTTATCCTTGATTTTCAGGTGTTCCCTATGCATCTCCGGATTCCAGGATGAAATACCAATGAAATTAAAATGGGATTACAAGCGAAGCACCATCTTTCAAATAAAAAAAAAACTTTCACTCAGTCGCAAGTTCAGAGGTAACAAACAAGTCGGTTGAAAAATAGCATAATGAGAGCGATGCTAATGATTTAACTCAATGAGATGACAATGAATGACTTGTATGAAGCTATAATGTTGTTAGAATGTTATTAACATGCCCACCTACTGCCACAATTACATTGAAGCACTCCAATAGAGGAGACAACCATAATGGCGAAGTAGAAATAAGTGGCTTCCTTCTTTGGAACAGATCAGATTTCATCAAAAAATTTAATGGTTATATAAGATAGAAAGATACTGTTAACATTTTATTTGAAATCCGATAAACTACTACAAAGTTACGCGGTCCAAAAAGAAAATAGCAAAAACATTACAAATTATATTCTCAATGTCAATCGATGGGTAGTCTCGATAGGACGTCAGCAGAGGTGAGTGGAAAACAATGGCTTTACGCACGTGCCGTCCATATAGAGCGCTGATGAGGCTGCCACCGAGCGTGGGTCGAGGGCGTTCACCCCCGGGACCTGACTAACACCTTCGCTTTGGACCACATCCAAAAACAGTAAACGGTCGCGCCGGTACAACGTCAATATTATGCAGATAAGTTTCAATGTGAAGATCAATAAGATTTAAGATCTAGTCGAAGACAACAGCAATACGATTTAGTCGATATCACGTTTTTTAATCTCAACAAAAAAAATTAAGAGTGTGAACCAAACATGAATTCCGTCTAGAGGACACCAGTTATTCTTTTGGCTCTTGATTTATTTTAATAAATTTGCGAGTTATATAACCTTGCACACTAAAGACTGAGACGACACGAGTCATAGATGATGCATAAAACATAACCCAACAACGGGCGCAATGTGAGAGATATGCGACATTGCGATACTTTGTCAGGTGAATTGCGCGTCAGGGGACATACATTGACTTGATAGAGAAGTGTAGGGAAACGACGAAAACAATGAAACTGAGAGCGAACCAGATAGCGTTATCAATGATATGGCAATATGTTCGTATTGCAGAACTTGTTGGAATCTGTTTCATGCATTATTGTATTTCGAACAAAACAACAAAAAAAAAACAACCTCGGTTAATCCTCACTTGTAAACTTTAGTCAAATGTCCTTTATTTGCCCAGGGACATTTTAAACTATAAATGATTAAATCGGATTCCGATAAAAAAAGATGCGACGTCAAACCGAAAATTGAAATCTCCCGGAATATATGAGAATCACCAAAAGATACTTCAGGATCTTTTACTTCAAGCGATGATGTCACATCTTGAACATTTATTATTAAACCAAGAAATTCATTACTTATATTCTAAATATCATAACTGTGTATAGTGCTAGGTTATATTCAACCGACAACTAAGTTCGTAAAATTTGATACATCTATTAGATTCATTTACAATGTTCTTGCTAGAAGCAAACTTAATGTTTTCGTACAAAGGGCCTTGGATCGCATGGAGAGCGGTACATTGAGCTGTCGAGACACGTCAATCTTATCGTAGATAAGAATAACGTAGAGGAAAAACTGTCCCGTGATGTTCGCATGTGCGAGTAGAAAAACAAGCGATAATGAAACTAAATATAATTACTTATCCGCTATGCACGCTACGGATGTTGTGAACGTACCTGTAAATAAAAGCAAATGTTATTTTCTTGAGCGAGTTACGAACATTTCTCTAACAAAGTATAACACTGTTGCATAAACTCTGTAGTAGCAGATGGAACAGTGTTCAAATAGGTAGCATAATTATTCTAGGTCATCTTTTTCTGGAATTCTTGTTAATAGTCATCAATAGTGTTTCGTTTTTACATTTAAACTCAGTACAAATGTTAAAATTGTTAGAATAAATATGAATTAAAAACGTGTTTATCGTCGTTATCTCAACATAGATTTGTTCCATTTGAAAAATCGGGGAATCTTCTCAAATGAATCTTTTGCCGCTTTGTTTGACTTACAGACAAGATG